CCTATGTACAACAGAATTCAACACAGCCCAGATCTACAGCATCCTCACAATTGTTGTCATGTTTGAGCCCACTGCTGCAGCCACTGTGTCGATACATTTTGTTAAGGGTAGTCCTCTTTTTTGCTCACCCTCTACTTTACCAAGCACGATGTCTTCTTTACAGTCTGGTCCCTTCAGACAACATGATCAAAGTATGTTAGATGAAGTTTTGCCATCTTTGTTTGTAAGGAGCATTCCAGCTGTACTTCTTCCAAGACACTTTTGTTTGTTCTTCTGGTAGTCCATGGTATATTTAATATTCTTCACCACCATCAAAATTCAAGGGCATCAATTCTTCTTTGGTCTTCTTTACTCACCGTCCAGCTTTCACATGCATATGAGAGAACTGAAAATACCATGACTTGGGACAGGCACACCTAGATATTCAAAGTGACATTTTTATTCTTTAACACTTTGAAGAGATCTTTTGCAGATCTGCCTAATGCAATATGTCATTTGGTTTCTTCACTGCTGTTTCTGTGGGCACTGATTGTGGATCCCAGTAAAATGAAATCTTTGACAATTTCAGATTTTTCTCCTGTTATCATGATGTGGCTCATTGGTCCAGTTGTGAGAATTTTTGTTTTCTTTACGTTGAAGTGTAATCCATACCGAAAGCTGCACTCTTCAACCTTCATCAATAAGAATGTCACTTTTTTTTTGTTTTTGCTTTTAGCAAGCAAGGTTGTGTCATCTGTATATCACAGGTTGTTAATGAGTCTTCTCATCCTGACACCATGTTCTTCTTCATATAGTCCAGCTTCTTGGATTATGTACTTACCATACAGACCGAATAAGTATGGTGAAAAGATACAACCCTGACACATCTTTCCTGATTTTAAACCATGCAGTATCCCCTTGTTCTGTTGCCTCTTGGTCTATGTTTAGGTTCCTCATGAGTACAATTAAGTGTTCTAGATTTCCCATTCTTTGCAATTGTATCCATAATGTGCTGCGATCCACGTTTCGCACAGTCAATAAAGCACAGGTAAACATACTTCTGCTATTCTCTGCTTTCAGTCAAGCTCTATCTGGCACCAGCAATGATACCCTTCGTTGCACGTCCTCTTCTGAATAAAAAAACTCACTGCCGTTGAGTCATTTCCAAATCATAGTGACCTCTCCTTGAGTTTCTGAGGCTTTATCTCTATATAAGTAAATTATCCAGTCCTCCTTCTGAGGAGCGGCTGGTGGGTTTGAATTGCCAGCTTTCCAGGCAGTTCCCAGTTGATGTTCTGCTTCATCCATTTTTTTGAATGATCTTCAGCAAAACTTGACTTGCATGTGATATTAATGATATTGTTCAATAACTTCTGCATTCGCTTGGATCACCTCTCCTTGGAAATGCTGATCTCTTCCAGTTGGCTAGTCAAGTAGCTGTCTTCCAAATTTATTGGCATAAATGACTGAGAGCTTCCAGGGTTGCATCTGTTTGTTGAAACAACTCAACTGATATTCTGTCAATTCCCTG